CAAGCTGAGTCGAGTTTGGGAGCTGACCAACATCTCGGCCTATTTGCCATTCGAATTAAATAATAATACACCTATACTACAACATATAAGACGTACAATAACATATGAGATAAAGACGACTTTAATAATATTCACAATATTATAACATAAAGAGTGTACATTCTTGACTTTTGCAATTGTTGAAGCATCGTCCAAAGATATGACATGGTGAGATTTGGAGTTATATTATAAAAAAATAATTTATCAGTATTATGAAAATTATCTACATATTGAGTCAATGTGGTATTTTTGGTCATACATATAAAAATAAAAATAAAACATCTCTTGAACAAGATTCATAGCAATTGAGGTAGGTCGACTTGACCCTGAACTTGAACAAAATCACTGTCTTTTGAAATTTGTCAAGGAAGACCTTTTTCAATAAATTGTATAAAATTTCTAAAGCAAATTTTGATTTCAGCTTTTCAAAGGTTCATTTCTCCACTCTTTTATTTGGACCACTACATCTTGTAAGGTTTGGGATTTTAACTTCTTAATAATAATGATATAAAATTAAAACTTAAATATTTTCCACTCAAATTAGGCGTGATAAGTTACAATTGTGATATCGTCAATCTAAGGGCTTGTTTGGGCCGGATTAAAATATGATTTTAATCAAAATCGAAATCAAAAATTAATGTTAACCACATCTTTCATGGGTCTCACATCTTTTCAGCTACATATTTCAAAAATTTCTATTACAATCCACTAAAAATCTAATTTTAGTCTCCACCAAACACTATCTAAGTATAAAACAAGATCAATTCAAACATAGCCTACAAAACTCCAAGGATAACCTTAAATCTAGTTCACATCAATATGTTCTCTTTGTTGTGATAAATGTGAACAGTAAAATAAAAAAGAAAAGAACAATAAGGGTGCGTTTGATTGCCAATATTTTTTTTATGGAAAATGTGTTTTTTTCACCCAATTTTCTACTTTCGTATTGTTTGATTGAAAATTTTTTCCGCATAAAATATTTTTATACTTTCAGCCACGTGACCACATTTTCTTTGAAAACAAGAAAAATATTCTTTAGGGAGATGCGATTTTTATTTTCAGGTAATTCAGTCTCCCATCTACCCACCAATAAAAAATGTACAAGTATAATATTTTTTAAATTGAAAACTAAAGCAATCAAACACATTTTAATTAATAATTTACATACAAATAATTTCTAAGCTAAGCAATTGAAATATCTAGAATTTATTTTATTTTCATGCAAATTTCATGCTCCCAATCAAACGCATCCGAAAAGAAACAAAATAATCACCCTTGACTACGGTTTACCAGCAAAGTCGAAATTGTATTTTCTGGACAGTGATCCGTACTTCACACAAATGATCGCCAGGTTTGCAAACGAAAATAGAGGGAAAACATCATTGACAGACTAATCTAATCTATACCTTCATTCTGCTGCAGCATCTTCGATGCTAGTTCCTGCAGTTCGTATCTCTGGGAGGGTTTCATGATTTGGGAGGACATCTTTCTCATCCAAGGAATTGGACATATCAGATAAATCGATAGGGTCATGTTGCACTTCCTCGGATGTCTTGTCAGAGAATTCATCTGTTCCACCATTGGTATCTGATTTCTCAGCCTCAGTAGCATCATTCTTTACTGTTAGTGATTCAGCGTTACTTCCTGCATCTACGGATAACTCCGATCTGATATTCTCGGCTACAGATGACTCTGAATCATTAGATGAATCAGAGAACTCCGACGAGCTTGATTCCAAGTCTTTATTTTTTGGAGGAATTGTAGAATTAGAATCAACATGATTACTATCCATATCTGAAGTGGAATTATTGGCCTCTCCTGTTGTTGTACCGTTCTGGCCATGATTTAACTCCAACTTGCTCTCGATTCCATTCTGCCGACTCTCCATTCTCACCTCTAACGAGTTGTTGCTTGTTTCTATATGGTCATTGGACCCTTCAGTCAATGTAGTATTTGAAAGTAAGCTGTTCTCAGACTTTTCCTTCAGATTCTCCTCTGCTTCATTGGTTGTTACATTAGACTGATCGTCACTTTTAGACATATTGCCATCCTTCACCTCTAAATTTGTTCTTTTGTCACCTAAATTGATTTCCTCACCCTTCTCTTTATTTTTCCATTCTAAATTGGTTGTTATATTCGACTGGTTATCACTTTTAGCCATATCGCCATCCCTCACCTCTAAATCTGTTTTCTTGTCACCTAAATTGATTTCCTCACCGTTCTCCTTATTTTCCCGTTCTAAAATGTTGGTTTCGGGCTGCTCCTTTGTGTATTCTGAGCTTCCATTCTCGTTTTCAGGATCAACGATTTGATTATCATGTGCCACAGCACTAGAAGCATCGTCAGCCTTGTAATGTTCCTCGCGTGCTTCACGTGCACTATGTTCATCTCCATCATGATCACTGTCCTCTATAGAACCTTCCTTCTCCGTTTCTCCATTGTTCTCTTCAGAATCTTTTTCTTCCATACTGTTCTCACCACCTTCATCTCCTTCCTTCTCTTCGTTTATAAATTCCTCTTCTCGATCAATTTCTGCATCAGATTTCTCATGTTCGTGCTCATTTATCTCCTCGTCTCCACCTTCCACCCCTTCATCTTCTCTCTGTTCAGCATTCTTGATTTCTTGCTCATGTTCTTCATGCTTATCGTCTACTTCTTCTTCTTCTTCAATCGATTCCTGTCCTATTGCTGCTTCGTCATGTTTCTCATTCTTAACTGTTTCTTCCACTCGGGGTCGGATGTCTTTCCTTCCAAGTGTCAAAATTTCATTGCTACTTCCTCTACTTAGTGAGGTTTTCGAATCACTTTCATCGAATTCTTTCTTCTTATCATGGGAATGCTTGACTTGGTATATCAACCAAAAGCAAACAGCAAGCAATAAACAAATTTGCAGAACATGCTTAATCTTCATTCCCTTAGATCTGTGGGTCCTACTAGAGGACTGCCTGTACATAGTGACTCGCGCAAGATGTCTCCACTTGTTCTCACTGCAAAGCAAGTGATGGAACCTGCCAAGACAACAAAACGTATCAAGCAATCAAACATTAACCTGAAATACAAAATTCATGGACTAATATCGACAAATTCGAGGTTTTCAATTAACCAACGATATACCTAGAAATCAAATATATTAATTAACTCCATGCCTAGAAATCAAATATATCTCAATGGTGATTCAAAAATAACATAGAAAATCTAAGCAACACTGGAAGGATAAAAAATCGTTCCCTCACAGATCAATAGGCGTGTGGGGGAGGCACCAACAATTTTTAGCAAACTGACTGTTTTCAAATGTCAACCCACAATTCTTATGCCATAAGTTCAATGATAGGCCACCTATCCAGTATACCTATGCTAGAAGAAACAAGAAGGATTGAAAAGCAACTAGGAGGAGGGAATAACAGCATTCTGTTACATGGCAAGTGGGAGAAAATTAATCTGTTAGGGAAGGGGTTATAAATAGAGGTAGGCGTGAAGGGATAGGGGACAATTAATGAGTAAAAGAGGGTCTAGTCACTTGTGTTCTGTTTTACAATTTTTTATAAGTCCATTAGAAATCAATAACAATTTATTCTGTTCTAATTGTTATAGCAGTCTTATCAAATTGGTACCAGCAACCAATTTTGGATGGCCCAAAAGAAGATAGAAACCAGAGTGGAAGCCATGGAGAAGGAGATGGATACTTTGAAAACAGAGATGCAGCATTTACCTGGGTTAGAGTGATATGTGGAATATCTTTCACAGAGCATGGCAAAAATGTTGAAATCTATGGAAGACACCCAGAAAACTAAGACAACTCTGATATCTCCTAAGGCAGCCAGAAACAGATCACTGGAAGGAGATGAGTCTGGAAGTACCGCAGAAGACACAAATCCTACTAATATCCAAATGGGAACCTTAGTGTTCAACGTGCTCAAGATCGAGGGAAGTAGCCGGGAGGAACAGGAGAAGCTAACACCTGTAGAATAGCCTGCGTTTCTGATCAGAAAGAGATGAAGACAATTGGCTACGTCGGCCGATGCAGGTAGTTTATGTGAGAAATTTTTGGCCATCCGTCAGGTGGGGACTGTGGAGTTCAGAAAGAATTTCAAAGCATTGGTTGCACCGTTAAACACCTAAGGTTCAGAAAGACATTCGAAGCATAACAACGAAAAGATCCTTTCTCCCTTTTTCTTGGGGGTGGTGGGGAGGGTTGGGTTGGGGTGGGGTGGGGTAAATTCTAGGATAATAGCAAACAAAACACATCCAATCTTTAACCAAAAGGAAACAGCAGGTGGTTCTTCTCCTCGTTTAAAAAGGGGATATGCCCAATCTCTTTTAGAGAAGGAATGAACTGTAGACCAATTTTTGCTACAAAAGCTATATATCACGAACCCGAGGGCAGGGCAAGAGCTTATTATAGCTAAGTAAACCAACATTGATCAAAAACCTAAAATAAAAAGGTTCCAGGATAATAGAAACTAAAGACATCCATTCTTTGAGACCAAAAGGAAACAGCAGGTTTTGTTTTCCTCACTTAAAAAGGAACTATAGCCAATCTCATATATGCTGGGTTATTTTGATTGTCAGAAATTGTCACTCTATCTCTATAGAGTTTCGCCAACTAGGCCAGTGACCCCAATAAAACCTTCTATCTCCTTTCTGTCCCCAGGTCACAAGTCTCCATCTGTTTCATACTAGTAGAATACTAGAATGTGTCGTTATTTGGCAACCCCTGCCATTTGAATTATCCAAACTAGAAAATAAAACTTTTCAATTATCTTCACCTTACCTTGCTTAAGTGCAACAATGCTATTACAAAATTTACAATGACAAGTTTACACCCAGTCTCTTTTATGAAAGTACTTTTTAATTAATTCAAGGGGACTTCCAGAAAGAGACCTTTCTCTATATGGCACCCTGGAAAACAATGCAGTAAACAAGTCTCCAACTCTTTCGTACAAGTAATATTAAACACTATCCCAAATCCTACCATTTGCATCAGTGAAACAAATGCTAACTTTTTTATTATTTTTCTTGTACTTTAATAAAGTTCAATGCAATACAGAGAGATTAACAAACAATCTCTTTTATGCAAGTATTTTTTGATCAAACCATGGAGATCGTCCTAAGTCGCCCTTTCTCTATAGGGATTTTACCGCCTTGCTGGGGAGAGACCCCAATAACCTTAAGGTCCATCTTGGTGACGAGTCTTACTCTTTCATAATGGTTAAGCTTAACCATTACTTCTCATCATACCTCGCGTGTTATCCAAACTGAAAATATCAATTTTAAATTATCTTATCTAATCACAATGAGGGACAAATTCTTTATCTCCTTTATGCAAGTCGTTTTTAATTGAATTCATTGAACCATAAGTATTTTCAGAAATTGGTCCTTCCTCTATATGGAGTTTTGCCGCCCAGCTTGAGACAGATGCCTTAACACCCCACCAGCCCACCCCCAGGGTCATGAGTCCCCATTCTTTCATACAAGTATTGGATGTCATTATTTCCCAAATCCTGCATTTGTATTATCCAAACTAAAAGATGCAAACTTTTCAATGGTCTTCATTGTGCTTTCCAAATGATCAACAATGCTATTATAAATTGCCAAGTTAGAATGATGAATTAATCCTTGAGCAGAGTATAAATCTTTTCAAACATATAAATTTCATACTAGGTCAATTTCACTCGCACCTTTGTGTTTAAAAAAAAAAAGTTCAGGAGAGAGAAATCCATGATCAAGGCAAAAAAGTTACCATGTTTGGGAGGGATTTAAATTTTTCTACTATAAATCAATTCTATTTTCAATCATACATTCTTCAATAAAATAATATTTTCCATCGAATCAATAATTTTTTTCTTTTTCAACCACACATTTCCCCTCGTATCACTATTCAAAATCAATTCCTCCCCCAAAAATCCCTCCCAAACAAGCTCTAAAATAAAGGACATTAAATTTGACAAGTTCATTGGCCATCCCAAGTATTAATTACCAAATCCTGCAGGCGAAAAATCAAAGAAACCCTACAAAGTTCCAGCATTAATTTCACAAATTGGCAAAAATCTTAAACTAAACAAAATATAAGTCAAAATCCTATCTTAACAATAAATACCCAAAATCCCTTAACAGAAACCATTAATTAGAAGACTACTTATAATATAGTTAAACATTTACCCAGAAAGTACACAAATAATACCATAAGCAAGAAAAGATACCTGGAGACGGTCTAAGCAAACAGTATAGAAAACGGAAAATGGTCCAAAAAAGGCTTCTTAATACGTTCAAACTGCCAGAGAAGAACTTGGAATTGCTTAATTCGAAGTGTTTGCGTGCACGCACGCGCCAATGGGGTCTAGGCAGCTCTCTTCCAGTCTCGCTCTCACTCTGTGATCTAGTAAAACTTTATGTCGTACTTGCAAGAGAGAATCAGAGAGAGATGACTATTCATATAAAATAACTCTTGTTTTTATTTGAGCATATTTTGTGGGGCCCGTGGGTGTAAAATGTATTTTTCAACAATAAATTAATGGAAAATGTGTGGCTAAAATAAAAAAATATATATAATAATTGGGTTGCGCGTAATATTATTTTATTAAAATATGTGTGTAAAAAAGATAAAAATTATATTTTGAAAAAAGTGGAGATCAAGCAATGACGTAATTTAGCCTTGTTTGATATAATTATTTACAAAATACATTTTTTTTCTTCTATTTAATTACACGTTATTCAATAAAACAATATTATGCATAAATTTAAAAAAAGTTCATATTTCTCAACCACACATTCTATATCAATTTATAATTCCAAAAATGCAATTTTAAGAAACAATGGAACTCAAACACGCTCTTAGAAAGTATTTATGAGTTAAAAAAACACAAATTTACTATTCTTAAAATATATTTATTATTTCCTTCTCTTTTTTATGTATTATTTAGTTGGGTCAATATATGAAGCATTGAAAATTGTGAATGTATTTAATTATCAACTATGTTATTTGTACAATCATACTTAACAATAATAGTTGAAAATGTTAGTGTTGTCAAAATTCGAGCCATTAATTTTAAAAATAGCTTTTAAAATGGATGAATATGATTTTGTCGAGAATGAATTATCAACCACGATTGTCAAATTAGATTGTACATGTAACATGATTCATTTAATTTTACTATTTACAAAATATATTTATTATTTTACCTTATATTTTATTTTTATCAACTTTCATCCAAATTATTATATTATTTCCTTCTCTTTCCTTTTTAGTTGGGGCCAATATATAGAGTATTGAAAATTGTGAATGTATTTAATTATAAAGAGTGGATTTCGCTCTTCAAATTTAGAGAGTCAAGAGTTGACTCTTTAATTCTTGAAGTATAATTTTAAAAGTCGACTCTTTTAAATATAAAGTATTTCATATTTAAAGAGTCTATTGAAAATACTCTTATTAAAAAAAATCCTTAATTTTGGGTAAGAAGTTGTCTGGTAAGGATTTTTAGCACAAATTGGTCCGTTGAGCCGCAATTATTGACCTTATTGTGAGATGTGGGCCCCGCCAATTTGATTATTAAGAAAATCCTTAATTTTGGGTAAGAAGTTGTCTGGTAAGGATTTTTAGCACAAATTGATCCGTTGCGCCGCAACTATTGACCTTATGGTGAGATGTGGGCCCCGCCAATTTGACAAAAAGGGTACAAAAATAACTTAAAAGATGAAAAAAAATTATACCAAACAGGCTTTAAAACCCATTTTGAGCGTCTTCCTTTAGTTTCTTTCGATCGTGTCTTCTCCAATCTATGGTAAAATCGCATTTTATGAATGCGGTTTGGGCACGAAAAGTTTGGTAGTATTTTCAAATGCTTACAAAAAGTATGTATCACGAAGTTTCTATTTGAGCTCCATTTTTCAAAAATTTAATTTTACTTAAATTGATTTTTAATCACACATCATCCTAATAAAATAATTTTACACGTAAATCCAAATTTTTTAGCACAAAAAAAATCAAATTTTCAAATAAATAAATATTGAACTCAAACGTTCCTGACCTGAAATACATAAATAAATTTTAGTTGTACCATATATGCACGAAGTGTCAGAGAGCCATGTTTTAATTAAATATACAAAAATTGCACGATAGGTGTTCCGCCTTAGTACATGTTTGGCAAAGCTTATAATTCTATAAGGTAGTCAAGCGATTTTTGTCCTCACAGAGAATAAATTTTTTTTTACCTATTTTTAATCAGGCATCCCTTAAGAGTTAAGACTCACCCATTATAGATTGATAATACAAATGTCCAATTGTGTAAATAATTATTCTCACTTGATGTGATATTTAATATTATAGATAAAATTAAATATGCAAATATTATGTAACGACGAATTAAAAGCAAATTCAAAGATTGTCTATTGTGCAGCATTCTAAAAAGCGTAAAATGTAACTATGTGTGGAGGTTAAGATTCAACCTTTACGAGCTTAAGCAAGCATAGGCGTAAAAAAGTTTTTTCCCATTTTTAATATTATTTTAAATTTTTAATCATTTTAAAAATCATTTAATAATTAAAATAATACATATCAAACATTTAAAGTTATAAAGTAATACATTTACTTAATAATTTCTACAATTAGTCAATTGCACAATTTTCAAGTTTTCAAAATACAAAAATTAGACTATTTTTCATTGTTTCAATTTTTAACTAGACATGTAATAGATTTATAAAAACTTCATACATGCTTTCGAAATTTTCAACAAAATAACGAGTAATTACATAATGTAGAAAGTACAGTATTTTAAATCGTATTTAACTATTTATCGAATTAATTATGCTTGGTGTACATAAAAAATGTACATAGGGGTGTCATTTCCCACACATGGGGTGAGATCCACAAAAATGTGGGACCCACCCTATATAAGGGAAATGACACCCTTATGTACAAAAATTATGTACACCAAACAAGGTTCTGTCTTTTTTTAGAACAATGATATTGTGTAACTACAACGGGAGATTGAGAATGAATTTAGTCAGGAAATGATAAGTAGAAAATCAGTGCTACAATTTTCCCATAGTAATATCTACAAGGATTTTAGTTCAAACATACCCCGTGTCCCCCCCCCCCACCCCACCCCCACTCAAAAATTGAAAAATGATCACATGAACACTTTTGACTGATTTAAATAGAATCACGTATTGCTCGTGTTTTTTGTAGGTCACAAAAAAGTGGATTCACTTTTACAAGTTATTCAGTACAATTTGTGTATTTGGAAATTTTGTAATGTAAACTACTTTTGCAAACATTAATTTTCATGAATTGAAGATTATTATTGTTGATTCAAGCTCCTTTTGAATCTTAAAAAATCTAGAAAAATGTCATGTTTTATTATCTTTATGTTCTTATTTTTGTCATAGTACAATGTTCGATGAAATAGATAAACATTATTAAAGAATAAGAAAACTAAAATTTTGTTGCTTATGTTCTCTAACATTGACTAATACTCCATATTAGATATAGAGATTCAAGGGCTACATCTAACGTTAGTTAAATTTCAAAACACAAACCAACATATATGGAATTGAGTTATTCTTTTTAACAAGATCGAACTTTTAATATGAGAAAATTAGGACTAATCACACTTTCCTATTTAAGTTCAAAAATCAGGACACTCTATTTCCATTTACACTCCAACTTTTCATTCCTCCCCATTATCTCTCTCTATCATCATCCTCCACCACCATCCTTAAAAGATCTTAACCACAATTGCCAAAAAAAAACCCAGGTTGAGAATTTACTTAACACACACAATGAAATTTAAAAAATATTTCAATTCCCATCAATGGTCTGCTTTGTATTTATAAAGAAGATGTGCTAAAAATTATACATTTAGTTAATTTTGTGAAAAACAAACACAATCTGCAATTCATAATAGTCCAGCTTCCAATAAAAATCTACAGATGAAACAAGAATGAGATAATTATGGTTTCTCATTGCTAATGCTAGAAAGATAATAATTGTGTTGTTATTTCTCAAACTCTGATAACTTATTAATAAAAGTTTAAGTTGACTTATTAATAGAAGTTCATGTGGGTCTGGCTCGTCTCTTAAACTTAATACGATCCAATATTTAATTAACCTAACTAATTAAATTTGGTTCATGAATTAATTAAGTAATCTAATTATTTAATTAATTAAAGTAACATAATTCTTCTAGTTATCTTTTCATGTACTACACATTAGGTTTCCGATCACGATACCCAACTACGTGAATTATTATTTTATTCTAATCAAAATATTAAAAAAATTAAAACATCGTTTTAATTTATTATTAATTTACTTAGATTAATTAATTCGTCGTCTCAGATTGATATAGAGTAATGTGTCAGGGCAACATATGTGATGTGAAATGTCACGTGGTATGATAAAACCAAATTTGTTCGGTCATTGTAAAACTACAATCACTTCATTAATATGATCCAATCAACTACGAGACATGAAATGTGTCAATCTCGATTATCGATCATATATTTCATCTTACTGATGAGTACACCTTGACTAAGAATTTCATTATTAACTTAAATGTAGATCATAATCTCTTACTATTTAAGAGTGATGGATTTTCTATTCATCATTCACAACCTTCATATGATTATTGATATACCCGAACGATGTCGTATTAGCGATTTTTGGTAGAGTAACATTCAGTCCCTGTTTGAGCCACATTATTTTTTTCATTCTTATTCTTCTATTCATTTTTAACCACACATTCTTCAATAAAATAATATTTTTCATCACATCAATAACTTTTCCTTCTTTTTCAATCAAATATTCCCCATCACATAAAAAAAATGCGTTCTTGACTACAAGATGTGCACCAAACAAGGGCTCAATATTTTCATTACGATTAAAATGTTGTGGATTTAATAAAACTGTAATGTGAATATTATTAAGAAAAAACTCATTTTTTTTCTTTTAATGAGATAGCCATAGCATCAAATAATGTTTCTTTTTTCCCTTTGGCCTTTTGGTTTGTTTGTTGGTTTTTGGTCGTTCTGACAGTTGTAATAGCTTGGGCTTAGGCTTTGGTCGCACTTAATCCCTCTTTGTAGGGCATTGTGTTGGAGGTGTTCCTCCGTGTACCGTTTAGCTATTGCGTTGTTCAATGAAATATGTTTCATCAAAAAAAAATCAGGACACTCTATTTCCATTTACACTCCACTATCTCCAACTTTTCATTCCTCCCCATTCTCTCTCTCTATCATCATCCTCCACCACCATCCTTAAAAGATCTGAACCACAATTGCCAAAAAAAACCCAGGTTGAGAATTTAATATACACAATGAAATTTAAAAAATATTTTAATTCTCATCAATGCTCTGCTTTGTATTTATAAAGAAGTTGTGATAAAAATTATACATTTAATTAATTTTGCGAAAAACAAACACAATCTTCAATTCATAATAGTCCAGATTCCAATAAAAATCTACAGATGAAACAAGAATGAGATAATTATAGTTTCTCATTGCTTATGCTAGCAAAATAATAATTGTGTTGTTATTTCTCAAACTCTTAACAACTTATTAATAAAAGTTTAAGTTGACTTATTAATAGAAGTTCATGTGGGTTTGGATCGTCCCTTAAACTTAATACAGTCCAATATTTAATTAATCTAACTAATTAAATTTGGTTCATGAATTAATTAATTAATCTAATTAATTAATTAATTAAAGTAACATAATTCTTCTAGTTATCTTTTTATGTGCTACACATTAGGTTCTCAATCACAATACCCAACTACTTGAATTATTATTTTATTCTAATCAAAATATTAAAAAAATTAAAACATCATTTTAATTTATTATTAATTTACTTAGATTAATTAATTCGCATTCGTCGTCTCAAATTGATATAGAGTAATGTGTCCAGGCAACATATGTGATGTGAAATGTCACGTGGTATGATAAAACCAAATTTATTCGGTCGTTGTAAAACTATAATCACTTCATCAATATGATCTGATCAATTACGAGACATGAAATGTGTCAATCTCGATTATCGATCATATATTTTATCTTACTGATGAGTACGCCTTGACTAAGAATTTCATTATTAATTTAATTTAAATGTAAATCATAATCTCTTACTATTTAAGAGTGATGAATTTTCTATTGATCATTCACAACCTTCATATGATTATCGACATACCCGAACGATATCGTATTATCGATTTTTGGTAGAGGAACATTCAATCCCCGTTTAAGCCACATTATTTTTTTCATTCACATTCTTCTGCTCATTTTCAATCACACATTTTTCAATAAAATAATATTTTTTATCACATCAATAACTTTTCCTTTTTTTTCAATCACGTATTCCCCATCACATAAAAAAAAAATACATTCTTGACTACAAAATGTGCACCAAACAGGGGCTCAATATTTTCATTACAATTAAAAAGTTGTGGATTTAATAAAAACTGTAATGTGAATATAATTAAGACAAAACTCTTTTTTTTCTTTTAATGAGATACCCATAGCATCAAATAATGTTTCTTTTTTCCCTTTCGCCTTTTGGCAAGAAAAAAAAAAAGTATTATTTTAATTTTGTAGAATTCATTAGTTTATGTTTGGCTAAGCTTAAAACAAAGTAAGTCACTTTTATATAATTTTTTTTTTTTAATCTTCAAACATGTTTATATAACTTTTTTTCTTACTTTAAGGTTTATTTTATTTATTTATTTATTTTTTTGAAAGTAACG